AAGCCCGCACCACGGGGCAGCCGCACCGCCCCCGGGCCAGCTCAGCCCCGCCAGCCCTGCTACCGCCGCGCCCCCGGCGCCCGCGCCCACTAATGCGCCGGGCCTGCAGTTCGCCTGCGCCCGGCAGCCCGAGCTCGCCATGATGCATTGCTCTTACTGGGACCACGACAGCAAGACCGGCGCGCTGCACTCGCGCCTCGATCTCTGAGGACCCAGCGCGCGCCGGCTGCGAGGATGCAGGGACGTGCGACGCCGGCCTTAGCCGCAGCCACCGCCGCCGGCCGGACCACGCGCCCTCTGTGGGGCCATCTTCTGAGCCAGCGTCCAAGGCCCTCTGCGCCTCCTCGCTCCCTTCAGCTCCTCTCGCCCCTCTTTGTCTCCTCCGCTTCTCCTCCTGTTGCTCGGCCCCCTGCCCTCTCTGCCCTCTCGCTCCTCCGGCCTGCAGGCCGCCTCTCCGTGCGCCTTTTGCAGGCCTCGTCTCCTCCCGACGCCCGAGCCTCCGGGCTGGACACCCCATGCCAAAATTCAGAACCGAGAGGAAGTGCCCGGGGCCGAGGTGCAGCCGGGCGTCGGCCGTGCAGACCTCTTGGCCTTCTCACACAGGTCGGTGCGCTCGCGCTCGGCTTTCCCCGCCCGGCTGCCGCTCAGTCCTTGGCTGGAAGCGTCGGTCCGGGCGGGCAACGAGAACCCGCGCCGCCAGAGAAAGGGACAAACGTGTGTTTGCTCCACGCTCCACGTAGCCTCCTGGAGCAGCTCAGAAGCGGCTAGCCGGGGCCCACTGGATGGGGCGGGGGTTGGGCCCGAGCAGGGAGCGGGGCTGCCTCGCGCGGCGGCCTGTGCGGGGGGGTTTACAGCACGTCCGGCCTCAGAGACCGGCTGCGCGTCCTCCGTTCCCGGTCCCGGCGCTTCGGGAACCTCCAGGCCCCAGGCGGCTGGCTACAGTTTCGCCCAAAAGATCGGGAGGGCTGTTTTAGATAACATTTAAAAAATATTTTTTTAAAGAAAAAACTAACCGGGAAAACCGGCGAAGTATTGTGGCCTTGGAATTTGCTAAAGCAAAACATGAAAATCTCTTCCAGGAGATTTGAAGTAGAATTCCTGTCGGGCCTTCAGAAAGCTATGTTCAGAGAGGTAGGAGAATATGCTCAGTAAAAGATGGTTTCCTTTACGAATTGGTGGGAGGGGGGGTTCTCCCCTCTATCTAAAAACAAACAAATCAAAAACAAGTTTCCCCGGATCTTCCGATGCAATCCCGGAGTGCGGGGAGATCACTGCCTGCCTGGCGGACGCTACAGGGACGGCTTGTGCTCTCTCTGATTTTTGTTTTGCAAACGTCTTGCTTCTCCCACCTTGGGCAGGAGAAATGTGAAACCTGGCAGCAGTCGGACCAGGCGGGCTTGTGGCCCCGAGCTGGCTGGCCCGAAACCCCTAGACCTGGTTGTTCCGTAGTGTGTCGTTTTGGAGGACCAAATTTTCTAGAAAGAACTAGAGCACTTTTGTTGTTTTGTTTGTTTGTTGTTACTGTCTTGTCAATTCCCAAATAAATTTTTTGTTTTAACACGGACTTCTATTATTTCCGCTTCGCCTAAGTATGTTCAGCAGCTGGTTAAAAGAGGGAGATGTCCAGCAAAATTTTATACTCTTTCAGATAAATAAGAGTTGAGGGCAGCCCGAGTGGAGGGCGTTTGTGGTTGTCGCTGCTGCTTTGTTTTCCGCGAGATTGTTTTCTGTGTCATCGCTGGTCTGTTGCGGCTGTTTAACGTCATCAAAGAGACTTTATCAGTGGTTCGTTCACAAGGCATAGGTGTAGGTAGGATTTGTTCGATTTTTGCAACTGTTCAGGTTTGTATTTTACCTCTTACACAGTGGTACTAAGTGTATGGATTGTGTTTTCATTATATTGAACTGATACGTTTATATTTTTCCAGACAAATATAGTAACTAGAAGAATTTATTCCAAATAGAGAAAATCCTGGTTGGGGAAATGTTCTGCAGGCTGCAAACCTCTGTACAAATGTAAGGAGCGACTTACATTGATTGCTTTATTATTTTTAATAATCAGAATTCATTTACCTTAAGATATGTGTAAGAGATTTAGGAGTATCAGAGAGGAATGGACACTGCATGGCTGTAGAAATCTAATTTTTTTCCTTCTTGTCCTCTACTGAGACTCTTCAAATAACGAATTCAGAGTGGTGCTTCTGCACTGGCACACGGGCATTTGGCCATGTTGCAGACCCGGGAGCTCTAGGGGTATGATGGGTGGGCAGCCTTCAGTCGGCTGATGGGATGACAGGTATTGGCTGGTTTTTCCCAGACTGTGGTACAGCTTGGGCTGGACCCCGCTCCATCCATGTGTCCGTCACCACCCCTACTCGGGCCCCAGACAGTAGTGGCCACAGGTCCAGGCTGACCAGCGGCCCAGGGGCACCTGGTGACAGGGACCAAGACTACAGGCCTCCCACTTCAATCTATACTACTGGCCATGCTGTAGGATCATGGCGGGGGGGGGGGGGGTGATCCCTGTTATGTGTTATTAGGCCCCAAGAGGAAGTAGCTCTGATTCAGGACACCTTTCCTCCCTTGGGTATCACCGGGGAGATTGGAAGGTGGAGGATAAAGCCATCGCTGTTCTGAGGAGCATCACCCTGTGCCCTCAACTGGAGCCTGCCAATGCCAGGGGAGCCGGAAAGAGCAGGCTGGTGAGGGAGGTTCAGCTGGGGTGAATAGCCCAAGAGACTGGTCAGGCCTAGTATCCGCGTGCTTCTAGTGAACCATTGCACCATCGTCTGGCTAAAAGGAGTTGCAGGAAAGAAAGTGGACTGCTGTGTGCTTGTCTGTCTGTGCTTTCTGTGGTGTGAACATGTATCCCATGGGCAGTTGTGCTGTCTATGCCTGCTGCAAATATGTGTGTACAGTGTAAGTCATGTCCTGGTGACAGGATGGGAGGTGTGTACGTCTGTCATTAGCCTTCGGAGAGGGCATATATTTGGGGCGTTGTAATAATCATATGCCTACTACTCAAGGAGTGCTTACTGGGAGGACAGTGTGTGTTGCATTCATAAGCCATCGGTAATGTGTGCAGTTATGTTCTCGGTATATAATCCTGGCTTGCTGAATGATAAGAGAGAATACATACAGACACTTTGCTTGAGCTGGGTAAGGCTGTCTGTTCCAGGGTTAGTTCTGAGCACCTCCTAACCGCTATCCCAAGCAGAGAAAGCAAAAGAGGGAAGTCTCCAGAGCAGAGCCTTCAGTGAGGTAGGGGAAGCTGGCCTAGGCCAGCGCTGGAGGACAGCTTCTCTCTGTCTCCAAGAGCTGAAAGGCAAGAGGCACCCAAGGCTGCAGAGGGAGTGGGAGTCTCACCAAGTATGGAGGATGAAATGAAGGAATCAGTGAGGGATTCCTGGTCTACACAGGGATTAGAGGAGAGATCCCACACAGGGAAGGCAGATAGATCATACCCCCACTTCCCAATGGATGCCCACAGGAAGACATCTGTCTCTAATTCCAGCCCTAGGGGTTTCTCCATAACTCTCTAGTTTGGTCATTTCCCCCACTGCTAAAAGTTTGAGGCAATGACTGACCTTCTTCATCTCTCATTTCCTTTCTCTCCTCTCCTTCTTTGCACTTTTGAGTTTCTAATAGAGAAGATGATTTAGGGAATTCCCTAAGTGAGGGCAAAAGTATTTAAGAGAGCTCCTGATATATATATATATAGCAGTTATGCCTTAGCACTTACAGTCTGGTCTAGATGGCTGGACTGTGTGGGTGTATGTATTTATGTTTGTCAGTGTATACTATAAATACAATTTAGAGTTTGATGCAAATACCCTGCCAGTTTCTGCATCTCCTGGGTAACGAGTGCCTACACATGATATTGAATGAGGAGTATGTGTGTGCTTATGCATGTAAACATCCTCACACTCATCACTGACAAGATGAGTCCCCCTCCTCACATTTACACACAAATCTTTGGTCATCCCTGCCCCCCTAAGACTGCCCAGCCAAAATACTTAGGTTGAACCGGGTAAGGGGTTCTGTTCTCAGGGGGATGAGGGAGAAATCAGTGCCAGTGCAGTACATGTACCAAGGAACTGTCAAATGGGGACCTAGGGTGTTTTCTGGGATGGCCTCACACCCTACTCCAGAGGATGTCGTGGCCCCGCTTCCCCTTTGCATAAGTAAAGAGTTCACTGCCCTACATCCTCAGTTTGGGCGGGCATGAAGCTTAGGATACTTCACCTGAGGTTAGGTGCTGGGCTGTCCCACTAAGGGAGGCTGGAGCTCCAAGCTTCTAAAAGCCCCCTGGTGGTGGGTGGAAATCAGGGGCAAACCACAGCTTCTTGCAGTCAGTGGGGCAGGAGAGGATGGGCCAAGGAACTGGGTCAGACCCAAGACAGTCTGCCCATGAATAAGCTCTTCCCTTAATGGAGGCTTGGAGCACCGGAACCACTGGGCCAGGGAGGGCATCAGGGTCAGGAAGCTGCCTGGTTGGGCTAAGGAGCCCTGCAGTGCCCCTACCCTGTGGAGCTAAGCTGGTGGTGACCATGCCTTATTGGTCCCACTCGCTACTTCTATGGGGCTGCCCCTGCTTCTTGGAGTAGCCTGTGGGACCTACAGGAAAGGATGGGACTAGGAGGCATACCTCTCCTGTGTGGTAGGGACCAGAGCCATGGAGCGGTTGGGAGCAATTGTCGTGCCCCTGGTTCTGCCTTAGAGACAGCAAGAAATTAAGGATTCTTGAAACCAGGCACTCTGTATCTGCTTTCTAATTTCTGGAGACAGGGCTCTATTCTGTCACAAAAGAATGGACCCCAAGTCTCTTAGCTTACATTTAAGGAACCAGAGGTCCTGAGAAGAAAAGGCCCATCCAATGGTCATCCAGCTATCTGTGGGGCAAACAGCCTTGGGAATTTTAGAAAGCACTGTGAGCACTGAGCCCAGCTGCTCACTGGGCTCTCTGAGTGGCACAGGCCCTGCAGCCCGATGTTTGATGTTCCAGAAGCTCAGTGGGTAAAGGGACGGCCAGCCAGAGGAGAAAGAAGCCCAGGACTGAGCTGCAAGCAGATTGTCCCCCCAGGACATTCCACGGGGCCTGCTGTTTGCTGCACAGGCTCCAGCTTAGCGATAAGCTCTGACAAGCTTGTTGTGAGACCATGTCCGCCCAGGGAGGTGGCCTATGCGGGATGGGGCAAGGCCTATTCAGCTGGGAAGAACTAGTGTAGAGCCCAACAACCCCCTGTAATAACTGTGCGACCTTGAGCAAAGCACCCATTCTGAATTTCAGTTTTCTCATCTATAAAATAGAAATAAGTATATGTATTTCACGGGGTTATTAAAGTAATTAAATGTTCTAATGTAAAAATGCTCAGTTTGTAGTAGATGGTCAATATGGTTTTCCGTCCCACATTGAAAGGAGGAAAGAGAAGGAGGGAGGGAAGGAGAGAAGGAGAGAGGGAGGGAAGAAGGAAGGAAGGAAGGAAGGAAGGAAGGAAGGAAGGAAGGAAGGAAGGGAGAGAGGGAGAGAGGGAGGGAGGAAGGACGGAAGGGAGGGAGGAAACGCCTTCCGTAGTAACCTTGTAAGGTCTGATATTCTATCCCAGTGGCCATAGCCACCCCTGGGCCCCCGAGAGCCCAGACCATGGAGCACCTTTCCAAGTCAGGGCGCAGGGGATTGCGTCTCCCTGCCCCAGCCCCTTGACCTTCAGAATGAGGTGCGTGCTATTGCTGTGGCGGTGAATGCCCGAGCCCTGGGGCTCCTCCAACCGCCCTTTCTTCTCCTAAGGCAATCTTCTTGGATAAACGAGGTTTTCTCTGACAAAGACCCAGCTGACCCGCGGAGTGTGACACCCGTCCAGGCACAGCCGCCACCCTCAGGCTCTTGGGCCGACGCCTCCCACCCTCAGGCGCCTCCCTTTGGAACGCGGAGCTGTTTGAACGTTTTCCCCGATTTTTCAGAAAAGCGGTAGGTAGCCACCGGGCGGGAAGTTGCGGAGGTCAGCTTGTGGGAGAGCCCCCCCGCCACCTCCCGCCCTCGGTATTTGTGGAGAAACGAGAAATCTGAGGGGCAAACGCAGGAAGCGGGTTGGGCCGAGCTGCGGCGGGCAGGGGCGCCGCGGGCGGGAGGGGAGCAGGGACGGTGTGGGGCCAGTGGCTCCGAAGACCCGGGCCTGTGCCGCCGGAGCCTCCGGTTTGCAGGCCCGGTGGCGGCGCTGCAATCGCGGAGCTGCGAGCGCGGAGCGGTCGCTTCCTGGCAGCTCTAAACAAAATTCGGGGTAAACGACTGGGCCGCTGTGAGCCCCGGGTGCTCCCGCCGGCAGGGAGGGCAGAGGAAGCGCGGGAGACCCCGAACGTCCCCAGCGACGCCGAGCGCAGAGGACAGAGGCCGCCCGAGCCCCCGCCACACCGGCAGGCCAACTCCGGTTCTCCAAGTTGGGAGTCCAGCCTGACTGTGTTGGTAATAATACTAACGAGCCGAATCAAACAAAACCTTTCCCCGGATTTTCCTCTACGTACAAAGGAAAATTACTCCTCTAGGCAGGCAAAGAAAAGGAAAGGGCA